ACCTGCTCACTCGTACAGCTAGTGTTAATCTTGTTAAATTCAAAGAACGAAAGCAGCGAGTCCTCCCGTGCACGCTGTCATGCGCGCTCCCACGGCACCAATCGATTTTTGGCAGTCCGTCTCTTTTTGTCACGACACCTGTATCTTCTGAGAATGTAATCCTCTCAGTTTGATCTGCTAAAGTTACCTGAGCTGAACGAAGTTCATGCAACTCTGCCATCCTTCATGACTGTTGACCTAGCACGTCTCTGCTATGCTAGCTGTACCAGTTAGCAGGTGTTCAGGAAAACGAATGGATTAAAGATCAGCCAGTGGGCGTGCAGGTCTAACCCACTGACGGTGACTGACAGCTGAAGTCATTCTGCTGAAAAGAGTCATTATGAAATAAATAAGCCATGAAAAACACAATTATAAAATAAAAGAATAAAAATGAAAAATGTTCATAATAATGAGCTTAGATACTCATTTTATAATGCTTTATTTATTTATTTAATTAATTTTGAGCATTTTAGTGTTCCATATGTTACATAAAACAAAAGTTGAAATGAATTCAGTCGAGACAAAAAGTGTGGATTGATCACCACTTTCATGACAATGTTTGAGTAGGTGTTCTCATGAACTTGTCTTTTGTGTGACTTGTTATAGCGGTGGTCAAGAGTGCTTTGGACTGTGACTTGAAAGTGGAGCCAAGTGGACCATAAAAAAGTTACACGATCACACACACTCCCTCTCTAGGCAGCTCTCAGGGCTGTGAAAGAAAGAAGAGGGAACAAAAAAAACTTGGCTGTTCTAAATGAGAAATGTTTGTGTGTGAGTTTCTTTTTCTTCTTCTTTGAGACAACGCTGCTGATCTAAGCAGCGCTCATTGCAGAGCGCGTAAAGAATAGCTCCTGTTTGTTTTGCTCGCTCAAAGCATCACAATGAATAATCGCGTCCTGCCCGGCAGACACAATGCACTATTGATTTGTTGAAAATATCACTACCTGCAAACACAATTTGCAGGTAGCATCCAGGATTGCGAGAAGATGGAGCGTGTTTGCAAATGTTCTCCGTATGTATTTCATTATTTCTCTAATGCGGCTCGTGTGAAAAACACGCTGTGCTGTTCACCTGAGGCTGTAAGGTGCAAACATTCTGCATATCGGGCCGGGAAATTGTGAAACCTGTCCCGGTTTATGTAATTTTTTACCCCCCACAGTGACACAACTATAATGAAAATCTCAGCTTTTGTGTAGCTGTGTGCATTTGTGCTGCAGAACAGTCTGGCAGGGTCACCTCCCCCCTTCCCCCACCCCCCAGGATCTGATTTTGTGCTTGGACGTGGGTCACGCTCTGCATCCCTGGAGCTCAAACCTGCACAGACAGCATCCGCTTAAATTTTTACACACACACCAACACGCACACACACAGTCAGAGAGCACATTCTAACACTCTAAATGAGTTCCCATGGGACTGCATGACTCCTGTCAGGACCTGCCGTTGCTTGGAGACTGGTCCTGTGGCAAAGCAGTCACTCACTCCCCTGGCCTTGTTACTCTTTTAATAAAATGATGGCACTCGGCTGCGTATTGTCCATAAACTTAAACAACCATGTATAAACTGCATAACATTTTAAGGACCAACAAAAAAAACCCAACTAAATTAACCTTTCAGTGTGATCATGAACTTTGGTGAACCTTTCTGTATATTTTTACTCTACATTCTGGAAATGAACTAAATTTAAATGGCTGCATTTGTCTTCCATTTTTTTACGTAATAGAGCTGCATATAAAAAGGTTGAGCTTCCCGTTCTTAGTGGGACTGCAAGTGTTTTGTTTTATCACGGAGCTCCACTTTGAGTTCAGTAATTACACACAAGTAGGGTACGTTACAGAGATAACTCTGCTGGCAGCTTTCAGAACAAGACCATTTTTAAAAATGTTTTTTTATTTTAATCTCGCTCTTTTCGCTGCATATTTTACGGTGATAATTCGGATTTTATGGGTGCGCACATGAACGCAACATGTGCTCTGGGATCCATTTGTCTGTGTTCATGCATGTTGCAAAAGAAAGAGAAATGCTTTTTTCCCCTCCCAGTCTCATGCAGCTAAATTGTGCGTTAAATGTGCTGATTTGCCAAACGAAAGACAGAAAGTGTTTACCTGCGACTCGTGAGCCTCGCTGACAGTATGCAGATACGGTTGGATATTTCAGGTGGCCTAACTGGCGCACGGAGACCTAAACCCTCAGGGCTGCTCACTTCTCTCCACCCTAAGCTGCCTGTTTATGGATTGTGCAGCGATGCGCTGTTAACTTCAGTGACACGACTAAAGAGCTTCTGTTGAATGCTTTCACTTACAGTGTCTCTTGTATTGCCTGCAAAGAATTGGTTTTCTCCTTATATTCAGCCTCAGCATTTCTGCTAAAGAACCCGCTGTCGATTCAAAGCTTTACCCCACCCCCCAGTACTTAACGAGCCTACCGTGCCCACAGATTTGCTAACAGACATCATTGTGTGAGAACAAGCAACAGATCATTGTTGAAATACAGTAAAGTTAGAAAGATAATTCTTACATTCAAGATTAATAAATTCTAAATAAACCATCAAAGCATTGTACATTAAAAGCCTAGCTTTGCTCAATGGAATGCGTCCACCCTCTTTACAGTCTACATAAGTAATGTAGGTCAGATCATCCCTGATGCATCCTTACATTTCTATGCCGACGATAAAGTTGTTTATTGTCGAGCTAAAACAGTTGCTAAGGTTTTCCAGCTTTTACAGTCTGCATTTAACATCATTCACTCTGATTTGTTCAGTCTCAAACTGGTGCTAAATGCTGATAAAACCAAAGGGATGTTGTTTTCAAATGGGAAGTCGTTACCAGCAGTCCTTGCTTCTATCTTATCTATGAATGGTGTTCCTATAGAGTTTGTCGATTCTTATAAACACTTGGGAATCTTGGTCGATGCACATCTCTCTCTTTTAAACCTCGTCCAAAACTTGGTAAAGAAACTGAAAGTAAAACTGGTTTAATTTTTTAGAAATAGATCCTGTTTAACTCTGAATGCAAAAAACACCTTGTAGCTGCTACTTTCCTTCCCTCCATTGATTACGGTGACATTATTTACATGAACACTCCTACAAGAACCCTGCAGATGTTGGATGCTGTCTATCAAGGTGCATTAAGATTCATAACTGGCTGTAACTACCTTACCCACCACTGCACCCTGTAGTCGCTGGTTAACTGGACATCATTAACTTCACGTAGCCTCTCACTGGTACATTTTCATCTTTAAATCACTTCTTGGTCTGCTGCCTTCATACATCTCCTCCTACATGTCACTACGTGAGTGCAGCTACGGCGTGCACCCTCAGGACATTATTACATGCAGTGTCCCATCAGTGTGGACCAAATTTGGAAAAAGGGCCTTCTCCTATTCTGCTCCTGTTTCCTGGAACACCTTGCAAACAGATCTGAACTCTCGACCTTGACCTCTCTAAGGGATTTTTAACAACTGCTAAGATCAATACAAAAACCAACGCAGACGTTCCTGTTTTTAGTTTTCTATATCACTTTATAATGTAGCACATGTTTGTATTTTGTTTTATATCACTTCTTTTATTCACTTTTCATTTTATATGCTTTTATATGATTGTTTTAGTTGTGTGTACCTCATCTGTGTTTTTTGTTTAAAACGGGTCTCTCTTGTAAATGAGTCCTCATGACTCAATGACACTAACCTGTGTAAATAAAGGTTGAATGCATGTCACCTGAGCTTTTCATGCCAGAGACAGAGTTTCATTCAGGCCCAAAAAATATGATCCGGTCCCAGCCCGCGGTCATCATTTCTGAACCCCACCCGGCCCGACGAATTAACAATAATTACAGATCCAAACCCAGAACCTCCCCCCCCCCCCCCCAACATTTTTAATTAGTTATTAACGGTTGGGCACGCGCGGCTGAATAAAAAAGGTGCAGAAGATCGGAGCTGAGGGGGTCTTTGTCCTTTCATGGCCGTAAAAGAGCATTTAAACCTGCTTGCATTCTGCAGTACTCAGATATGGTCAGCTCTGGCATGTCTGCTTTGATTTCTCACCTGTTTGGGTCATCGGCCACACGCGTCTGCTGAGTGCAATGGCCGACGGCCCAATGAACGTCCATTTGGGCGATGGATCGCTTTCTGGCAGTCTCATCTGAAGCTTCACTGAACTTTTTACCTCTTTCAAGGCCGGTCAGCTCGCGGTGAAATGGTCGCGTGCAGCTGGTCATTGTATGGCAGGCCATGTTATCATATAATTGGATCGCGGCTTATCCGCTGACCCAATCAAAAGCCCGACACCAACCCAGCCCGCACATCCAGCACATTATCATGGCCTGGCCCACCCTGAATTTGGGTCGGGTGGGGCCGGGCTTAGGGCTCGGGTTAGAATTGACAGCTCTAGCCAGAGGTTTAAACTCTGAATAAAATTATAAATTATCTTATGTTGAGAAATGACTGATGAAAATCACATTTCACATGAGTTGTCAATGACTCTCAGCTACTAACACCACAAATTTTAACTCAATTTCTGTAAAATTGACTGAGTTAGAGCCATTTATGGGTATTGCTGATTACCAGTAGTTGTGGCAGCCATCTTAATTTGGATAGTCTGTGCTAAATGAGATCCTAGGAACATCAATAAATGTTTAAATGGGGAGAAAAAAGTACAAAAGTGAATGCTTTTAATAGAACTGGCTCTAACGGTATATTTTAGTGCCATCAAAAACAATACAACTGATGTTTTTATTTACATCCAGAGATCGCAATTTGTTGACTCTCTTTAAAACCCTCATATCGCTTTCATCAACAAAGCTAAAGACCACACCTGTTGCACATACACATCAATGTAGAAATTATTTTATTCACTGTTTACTAAACTAAAAACATTTTACAATCTGTTTTGTTTATACTCATGTTGTCAACAACCCTTTAAAATCCTTCAGAGCCTCATCTCCCTTGGTTTTTTTTTGTCTTTCCAGCTGTACAATAAGTTACAATGTGACGACCAGCCCATGTTGGAACATGTGGAGCAGCTGCTGGGAGAACTGGGAGGAGAAATGGAGGCAGAGGAGGGCGAGCCAGCCTTGGAGGATGACTATGAACCTTGTAGTGAGGAAGAGGACGACGATGCCGAGGCCCCAATGGAGCACTGAAGGACTGCACTCATGATATCACTGCTCGTTGTGCTTCCCTGTAGTTTTTTTGTTCTCTCTTAAGTGCCTTTTAAAATGTTTCTCCCTCACCTGCTTATCAAGGATTAAACTGATATGCCCAAACAGAGTGGTATTAAACCCTACAGTCTACTCAATCTTTTTTTTTAGTCGAGTTGTTAAATGCTTTTGGTGAAACAAGTGCGTACTTGAGTAATGCTTCGCTTAATCTCCTTGACAGATGCCGATGAAAGAAATTAGTTTTAGAGCTTTAATTCTCACCAGCAGAAAAGCAAAAATAGAAAAAACATCTTGAATGCTTTTTCCCCCTCTTCTACACTCCTACGCAATAATGCATCACAAATGCACGCATACAACCAAACCACAAAGGGAGCATGCTAATTACCTTGACTCTTCCTCATTAAAACACATTGGAACTGCCCTCTGACAAACACTTTATTATGTCTTTACATATCATTTTAATACTTAAAGGCTTATGCACAAGGCTGTGAACTTTAAATGCTTTTTGTGTGGTAGACCTTTGTAAAATGCTGTTGTTTGTAGACTAAGGTTTTTGAAATTTTTACACCAAAAGCAGAAAAAGTATTGATTGTAAAGCAATTTACTTGGTTCAGGGCAGATAAATTATTCAGAAATGATTTTTTACAGCCCCCTTTATTCCCAAATCTTTAAAAACATTCAAACGTGAAGAGCTGCTTTTATTGCCAATCTGTTTAATAAATCAGTTCTAACATGACCTGGTTAGATTTATTTTACAGGATGTGTAGATTTAACTCTTAAAGGACAACGTTTTCACGATGACGAAAGAAACTAAAGCAGCAATAAAGCAGTGCAGTTTTCAAACAGGAGAGAAATCAATAAAACAAGATTAAAAAAGAAGATTACAACTTGAAAACTATGCATCGCTCTAAATTAAAAGCCTTGTTAAAGGTATAGTTGCAGTCAGAAGTTAACATACATTCATCTCAAGCATGAATGTCAATAATGAGCCTTTTATTGATTACATGTTTTCTTTCAGATTGTAATAAAAGATGCAACTTCACTGATTTTTATAAAACTTTGAACACAAAGTCAAAATGATACATATGGGCTCAAATGTTTTCATACACCCAGGCTCATTTGATCAAATGTTTTTTAGCCAACAAGTTTCTGATGTAATTATGGCTAGATATTTAGCCACTCTTCTTGGTAGATTGATAGTATTTAAATAAATTAATTGGTTAGTTGGCATGAAGCCAGTTTTTAAGCATGTCCAATAGATTTTTCATCAGTCCTGTAGTTTCAGTCAGAAACCAGTTCTGATGAATGTTTGAGCTCTTTGTTCAAGTATAGTTGCTGACTTGAGATGAATGTGCCGTGCTTGTGGGTAATCCTCCTTTGTTATTTCCATCTACTTTGTGTAAAGCATCAATACCAGAGCATGATGCTGTCACCACCATGCTTGACAGCTCATTTAAAGTTGGGTCTTAAAGCCTCACTTTTGACTCCTCCCAAAAGTATCACTGCGGCCAAGCAGCTCGATCTTTGTCTCGTCTGACCAGAAAATGTTTGGTTTGTCCACGTAGGCATCTAAATTCCATTTGAGCTTTGTGGTGTCCCTTGTGGAACAGGGGCTTTTGTTGCCAGCACCCTCTCAGATTGTGGTGATGTAAAGCCGGCCTCGGTGTGGACTGTGACTCTGGTGTTTTGTCAGTTTCAAGTTCACGGCAATCTACACCGTTTGCCATGGAAAAGTTCCTGAACATCAAAACTGTTTTCCTTTCACCTGAGCTGTCAAACAAAATCTTTTTTTTTATTTTGGCAAAGAAAAGCTACAAGCTCAGTCACTCATGACCAATAATTAACACTCAGTTGGCATTCTGGAACCTTCAGAACTACTTCTCTACCATAATCCTCAACACTGGCTCCCCTCAGGGCTGTGTGTTGAGCCCCCTCCTGTTCATTTTGCTCACATATGACTGTGCACCTACCCATCCTGGCTGTCACGTTGTATAGTTTGCAAACGATACAGCGGTGATTGGATGCATCACAAACAATGATGAGTCCAGCTACAGGCAGGAGGTGGAACACCTGGAGTGCTGGTGCAAGAAGAACAACCTCCACATCAAGGTGAAGAAGACGAAGGAGATAATTGTGAATTTCAGAAGGAGCAAACAGACCTCTCCCCCACCCCCCACACACAGGATCTGTGGTGGAAGTGGTCTCCAGCAGCTAGTACTTGGGTGTACACCTGAAAAACAACCTCAGCTGGGGCAACAACACCACTAGCATGATCAAGAAAGCTCATCAGAGACTCTACTTCCTGAGGTGGCTGAGACGAGCTGGGCTGGGAAGCTCAGTCCTCACCTCCTTCTACAGGTGTGCAGTGGAGAGCGTTCTGTGCTCCAGCATCAATGTGTGGCATGGAGGCTGCACAGCTGCAGAAAGAAAAGCTTTGCAGAGAGTGGTGAAGGCTGCACAGAAGACTGCTGGGGTCAGCCTCCCCACCATCACAAACATTTACACCTCCAGATGCAGGAAGAGGACCACCTGCAACAGGATGGACCCCACATACCCATCATACACTTTTTGCCCCACTCCCCTCAGGCAGGAGGTCGCAGACCATTAAGTGTAGAACCACTAGACTGAGGAACAGCTTCTACCCTGAAGCTGATCCCCAGCCAGAAAAATCACTGTAATGCCACTTTAATTGGAGATTTGTCACTATCCATGCTGCCGATTTCTTCCCTTAAGCTGTTCTATTCATACCCATCTGCTCACAACAGACTCATGTTCAGGCCGCTGTTTAATACACCATATTATATTATTACTGTTTAGCATATATATTAGATCCTTGTATCCGGTTTTTTTGTCCTTTATATTTTGATATTTTTGGGTGTAACTGGGACCTTAAACAGTTTCGTTCCACCTCATGTACCACATGTGATGCGTATGACAAGTCTCCTTGAACCTTATTGAAAGATTTAGATGAATGTGTTTAAATGTATAATTCTGACACTGTGAATTGGAGAGAAGTCACATAAAATTCAAACTTGTGCACCTAACAAATGTTAAAAAAAACATTAAAGTAAGAGGCAGCGGTAACTCGGGTGGTCAGTGCTGCAGTCGTTATCCTGAGGTTCGAGCCCAAGTTGCATCAAGAAGGGCATCCGGTGTAAAACAAATTGCCAAATCTTTCATGTGGTGCTGTGGTGGCCCCTGAAGAAGGGAGAAGCCGAAACAAACTTTTATTAAAGTTGTGTGTTGTATGACTACTCCACCCTGGTAAAAAAAATAAAAAAGGTTAAATCAGTCAATAAAAGGCACAAATGAAAGACTTTCATATACAAGATGAGTGTTTGTGAACTTCCGACCACAAGCGTACGACCTATTTATATCCATTTGAAATGAAATATTGAAAGAGTATGCTGTTAAACACCAGGAGGCAGAATGTTGGTGTGTAGGTGCATGAAAAACATAAAGCAGCCAGTGTTGCTCTTCTGAGAGACATAAAGCACAATAAAATACAAAGCAGGACAGGATGTAAGTGATCTGGCTGGAGCATAAAATAAAAGGATTGATTTAGAGAGAACCAACGTTACTTAAAGCGTTCTAGACGAGTAGAAGGGCTTTAAAATTGATTCTAAAAGGTGCAGTCAGCCAGTTCATCACTAGAAACTGGGCTGATGTGATCCAGATTTCTTTATTCCTTTTATGATTATTATTATAGTGGTTTTAATGGAGAAATGGAGCAAACGGTTACTATCAATCTGTAAACAATGTTTGAACATTCCCGAGATCCAAGATGGAAAATAATGCTGAACAACTTCGACATTAGATCTCAAACGCTAATTTATTAGTTATTCCTCGAGGTATATAATCATTAACAAATGAATGTTTTTAAACTACTTTTTTAAAATCCAGACATGTTATTATCCGGTGTAATTTTCACTTTTCTCAGGTTCTGATACTTTAGTAGCACATTGGAGTTTCTTTCTCCCTTGGCTTTTTACAGAAAAACACCCTAAGATTTAACAGGTGCTCTGCAATGCACAGCCATTCATTTAGGTTCTTTCTCCATGCGTCATCCCTGTTAGAGTGAACTCAACACACCACGGGCACCCGCGGCTGCTCTGGGGCCGCTTTGAAGAATTTCATAACCGGTAAACGAGAACGTTATCTGAGATCCTGCTGCTGATTGTGCCCCGGCTGCAAGCGGAGAGGCCTGTACGGGGGGACGTGAGGGGGGTTTAGATCCTGTGATCTGATAATGCATGTTTACATTTAGGAAGCATAAAATGCAACACAGGAGGAAAAGTTACAGTTAAAATTGTGTGTGTATGTTGTAAAATATCACAACCTAATGTGACATGATGTGTTATTTGTGGACTGGGCTCAGAAATACTCATGTCTGCGGTGTTTAGTGTACCAGCACAGGCCTCGAGGAATTTCTACCTGCAGCCATTCTGTCATCTAGTATTTGCTTTTTCAAAAATTTAACTCACTTTATTGTGGTTTTGTGTTTACGTGTGTGTGTGTGTGTTGTGGCACATGTCTGTGCGACTCATCCGCAGAGCTGTGTGATTAATGACTTCAGGGGGTGGGTGAACACTGGCGGTCAACCCCATCTAGTTATTTTGAGCTGACTTAGTGTGAATGGGCCACTGTGGACACAAAGCCTCAGGTGATCTCGGCCGTTGTCTCACCTGTACACCAGCTTCAGGATCGGGGGGAGATTTACACTTTCTGAGAGGCGGGAGGAAGCGTTTTTATTCAAGGATGCTTGTTAAGTCCCCATGAAAAGATATGGTCCCCCACACACACTTTTGTTGACTCCTAAAAAAAACAAGAAACTTCTTTAACTTTTATCAATTCATTGCTTTTAACAACTGTTGTTTTTTTAATCCTTTATTTTACAAGGAGAAACTCATTGAGAACAAAAATTTCATATCCAAGACTGTCCTGGCAGAGAGCTGCTATCTAGGGAATCCATGGGAGCAGATGGTGGGGGTAAAGGGCCTTGCTCAAGGGCCCAGAGTGGGGCAAATAAGGGTGGAGGTAGGTGCGGATGGTTCACCTATCCCACCCACATTTCGATGTTGTCGGTACCGGGAGTTAAATGGACTGTATTTATATAGCGCCTTTCTATCTTATTGAGATATTCAAAGCACTTTACACTACAATCTGTGCCTCATTTACCCTTTCATACAGCACTCTACTAGATCTACAAAGCT